GTATTTACTACATAAGGATAAAAGTAAGAAAAGTATATGACATTTTTCTTCAATGATATATATAGTATTATATGTATATTTTTTATTTATTATTTTGTCATTATTTAGTTTGTATTTATTTGACACCTTGTATACGCTTATGTTTTCTCGGACATTATATTGCAGCTTTGCGACGAAATTTCAGTCGAGGAAACAAGCGCAAGCATCGTTTGTTTACAAACTTCCGATGACACACGTACACAGACCACACGTCAGTGTAGTGAGTCACCACTACAAACAAATGCGTACACACGGACCTACGCGGCATAGGTCCGTAGGCTGCGCCGATAATGTCATTTCATTTTTAGTACCATCGAAATGATGGCGCTTTCGCGTCGGAGTTCGCCCGTCACTTCAGCATCCTCTTAACGTTACAAAATGGGAACGACATAAAAAAAACAACGCGTACAGATTGTGGAGTCTTGCGGGTTGCTCTCTCCACGCGAGGAGCAACACCAGGACTCTTTGCTCCCTCGGCCGGGCTATCGCCCTTGTGACGGCGCTCGAAAAGCGTCACGTCACAATACTATCAACAAATTTCTTATGTGATTTTTCTTTTCCTTCTATTCTTCCTAACGCAATTAAAGAAGTGCGAGAAGTAATCACATTGAACCATTTTGATACAATTTCAATAAATAAAGCGGTTACTTTATACTCGTTTATATTACGTTCTTCTGCTATAAATTGCAATGCACTACTAACATCTCTATTATACAAAGCGGTTGCCTTATTAACTCTCATTTTGTTAAAATTAGTAATAGTAATAATTTGACTATCTAATTTTGGTGCTAATTTGAACGTGAGATTTTCTTGTTCAGCCGCTAATTCTGCGACATGTGAACACTTAACAATACACGAAGAAAGTTCATACATTTCTGCGAAATTCTGTGGCAATATTATAATTTTATTATTTACCAAAGTAGTGCGAAGATTTTTTAAGAGATGTGGAGCATCGGCAAAGAAGAACAGTTTTCGGCTGTTATCTAGTGGATGTGGCACCGAGTTTTTAATTTTCGAATATTTTGTTGCAGATATATTTTCGAAAGCTTTCCACATAGCCTGATTAACTCCTCCCATGTCAGATGTGATGCTATAAAATTTAAGACCTAAATTTTCAGCTTTTTCAATTATTTTAAGAATAATTTCTTTTAAAATTGCACCATTAAATCAGGAGTGTAATAGTAGGCTACAATTTGTTTCCACCGTGTAAATATACCGCAAATCATGCACACCAAACCATGCGTAGCATAAGGCATTTTTCCTACAAATGTACATGCAAACATGCAAGAAAAATTAAAGTGAGGTAAGCATTGTGGAAACACATTCAAAAATATGTAATGCGTAATATGTAATATATTTCTAAATCAGGATTTACCAAATTTATCAGGAATTGTAGCATATCCAATGGTGTGATTGGTGCAGAGATCTATTTGTTCACCTGGTATTAAACTCATCTCATCAAGACAAATCATTGAATCTTTATGTCGTTCATCTGGAAAGTTTGATACCTTTTCCCTTAATAATTCAAAAACATCGTCACAAATTCTATCTTTAAAAGTAATGCATTCTATGCGTCTGCGCAGAGTACGAGTTGAAGGTAAAGAAAAAGAATGATGTAATAATTCCCTATATCCATTATCCCCACATGCATGTTTCAGCCGTAATGCCTTTTTAATTGTTTCATCTGTCCATTTATATATATGACGTCCTTCATGTTTAGCTTTGAGATATTCTATCTGATCTTTATTAAGTATTTTATGCAACAAATCTGCCAAAGAAAATCTCTGTTTACTATGCAACTTAGTAGAATTTTTTGATTGTCGTAAACGCTTCAGAAGAATTCTGTTTTTCCATAAATTTTTACGGATAATGGTATCTGCTCTCTCTAGTTTTTTGTTTGCTTCATCTAATTTTTTTTTCAATTCTTCTACAGTGTTATTATAACTTGTCATAGTGTCATTATTATTTTTTTGTAATCTTTTTGCATCATGAACTATATTAGTATTGATGTTTGTGACAAGTTGTTTTGATGAAGTTGTAAAAGAAATGTCAACATTATTTGAGGGAACCTCAAGACCATCATTTGAAGAAACTTCAAGAATATCATTTGTTGCTTGTGCTGTGTCTTCGTCATAAATCTGTAAAAATTAAAACTTTAAAAATTTTTTTGTTTAAAACTTAGTTTATATAATATATATATATAAATTTATTTAACAATGACCCTATTAAAAACTGCAGTTAAAACCGATACATACAACATGTACATTTCTTTCTACTGGAATGTCTTTATTTTTGGGAGGATAAAAAATTGTTGGAATGGCATTGGTTTTTAGTTTTTTTTTTCCATCTACTCGTACTTTTTCCCACATTTCCGCGGAAAAATGGGTCTATAAAAATTATTCAATTATTCAAGATTATTGTTATATTTCTATTTTTAATCATACAAATAATTACTTACTTCGCATACAAATGAATTTTTAGTTGGTTGCCACTTTAAGGATTGATGGATGTTGCCACTATAGATATTAATATTTTCGGTCCATATCGTTTTCCGCTTCATATTTGATGGAAACTTCCTCATCGAAAAACCTTTCTCCGTACAATTTGAACAATTAGGTACGCAGCAGCCAGGCATTTTCTGCAAAATTGTATGCAACTTGTAAATATAAAATACAATAATAAAGGTTAGGAATTGATTTTTATAGTAGCATGCATTATAATACTTCTTTTTTATATATTTTACTTCATTTTTACAATATTATATTATAAATTACCTATTTTACTTGTTTGTGATATTTTATTATTTAATATAAAATTCACAATATCTTTTTGTCTTAGATCACATCTATATCATATCATCACTGTTTCTGTTTTACGACGCCATGTTTTGTCGAACTAAAAAGACTGTCCAGACTCTTACTATAGGGTCTCTAGTAGATACACGTTGCGCAGGCGGTGAAAAGTTTTCTCGCGATCAAGCATCGATCGAAGCAGTATAAAAGAGCTTCGTCGCAGATTTTTACTCACTCACTCGCTTCAAGGCGAGCTCTCTACAAAGCCCTTGACTTGAGTCTTACTCTGCTTTAGCAGAGCGTAACCAGAGGCAAATTTGTCTCGCAATTTTTCTCACGTTGCCTCGTAAGACACGTAAAAGAAAAACAGAGTCCCAGCTTCAGCCGCACATTTCAACCAAGCGGCCCGCTGACTCATCAGTACCGCCGTCACCTGCTCAGACTCTAGCGTGGAAATTAATTCCCCTAGAGTTCTGCGTCCGATTGACTCGGCCACCAAGGGATATTCTCGTTGCTGACCATATACGAATTCGGAGACCTTTCTCTCCTCGGTACACAGAACATTCTGTTGCACCAAGAGCCAAGACGGTTGCATCTTCAGGCACACCGGAGACTCAATCCGTGGCTATCCAGACTTCACCGCCTAGGGCGTGCTCAGAGAGTAGCTACCAGACGGAAGACCACTTTCCAAACGGAGTTCCTCCAACACCGGGAAAGGGGCTGCAACGAGCTGATTCTATCGAACCGTCCTTTTTAGGACCCGTCCAATATACCAAGACGAGGCCGGTAATTTTTTACCGCGCCCGTCAATTTTTATTTTAATTTATCGGTCTTACACCTTCGCCGAGAAAGCGCCTCTGGCGCAATAAAACATTCAAACACAATACAGCACACAACTTGTACATACTCACTTCTCTGACGAAGAAAATAAAATATATTTTCTAACAAATTGGTTCTCTCAATCTCTCACCAAGTCGAACACATCCTTAGTACGTTACGCCCATAATTAGTAATTTTATTAATATTATTAATAAGTAGTGGTTTTCCGCACCACCTTTGAGGTTCCACTTATGGCGCGTTCGATTTTTTTTAAGTGGATCGTCGCCTGGAGCCCTATTGTACCACTTTTTTACACTTGTTATTTACAGGTTAAAATAATTTACAGTAGTTAACACTGTATCTTTGTATCTATATACTTCTGAAATTAGAAAGTCTTTGTATAAATAAAACCATAACTTGCAAAAATAATTTTTTATTTTTTAATAAAACATGCAATTTTTATAAATATTTTGATAGAAAATATTTTTTTGCTCACCTCGGCTCCCTCGGCCACCTCGGTCACCACGGCCACCTCGGCCACCTCGATCACCCTGGTCAGCGGTCATCTCGCCCTGTTCTTTGTTTGTATCTGAAAAATAAACATAAGTAATTAAAAAGTGCTAAATTGTATTATTTATTACCGATTATTATTACACAATAAATTATTGTTCAAATTATTATTATAGAACAGAAATATTAATTTCAATGAATTTAATCTAAACACTTTTAATACAAGTAGACAAATACCTTTTTTATTTTGTTGTCGTTCAAATGATCTGTCATTTTGATGTTGCTGCTGCTGCTGCAAGTATAACAATTGATACTGCAGCTGCTGTTGATTGCAGATCAATTGCTTTAATTGTTGCTGTGCAGTGACTTTTTGTTCCAAATCTTTTGCAAAAATAAAAAGAATAAATATATAAATAAAATAAAAATAAAAATAAAAATAAAAGTAAAGTTATATATAAATTATATAAATTCTCGACCGTTCGAGATTTATCGAAAAATTTTAACACACTTCCGTCTGTTTCAAAGTTTTGCGTTTACTCACTCGCATTTACGTCTCGCGGTCGACTCTGTACACATCAATAATATATAATGCTTAATATCATAACACATTGTTCACTTTTTAGTTGTTATCGTCGATTACGGTCGATTGAAAATCTTAATTCTTATATATAAGCACATGTATAAAATATTTTTCTATATATGAATAATTATAATTTTATTTTCTACTTATGGGACATTGTTCCACTGCGTGCTGCTGTTGAAACGAAACTGGCGTCTTGAAGAATTAATTCTGTTATCTTATACTGGCAAGCAAACATATTATTTATGTGTTTGTAACATTTTCGTATTCAAACAGTTGACTCGCGTTGCAAGCAGAGGCGGCGTTTTGTATGTGGAATGATGGAGCACTCCACACATGTGAATTTGGCATGTCGAGCTACATATAATATAAATTTTTAACGAATAATTTAGATTTTTTTATGGGTGATATAAATGAACAATGCTGTGCGCTGTGCGCTCTGATTGACTCTTGGCAGAATGTTTTTTCCTTTAGATGACCAATCAAATGTGACAGAATCATTTGGTGTAAGAATATTCTAGTCATGCGCGATGCGCGCACTCAGCGCCACGAACCACGAGTGTGGCGTGTGGCTAAAGCAATACTTGAAAGATACGAAAAAGTGGGGCTTTATATATATGTGTTATGTGTACGTGAATTCTGACCTGCTCGACTCGGTGTGTGCATGCCATTCAGGCTGCGTTCGGAAACACACACTGTGTGCACACCAACACACAATAACCGTTCGGAAACACATTAGTGGTACTTAATGTGCATTCAGGTGAATCGTTCGAAAACGTTGAACGAGTACCACCAGTGTGCCACGAAACCACTCGCTGAAAAAGCAAGAGGAGTCAGTGTGATTCAAGAGTAACGCTTCCGAACGCCTCTTCATTTTTATTAAAACTGAAACATAACCTCTCTCTTCTCTACCTTGAGTGCCTTATTCAAATAACAAAAAATAATGTACGGGAATATAACGCTTGTAAAAGGGCGGCATCAAGTCATTATGAATGGTGATATGCCCATTTTTTATTCAAATGGAAATTTACTTATACAAGATGTACAAGGTGAGTTATTACATTAGAATCAAAATCATAAAAATAGAAATTGTAAAGTTCGCATTTTTTGCTTTAATATGTTCTGAAAATGATGTTTTTGTACTTAATTACAGATAATAACGTTTTTACCTTACCTTTATGTAAGGAGACACTGAACTTTTTTGATATTAAATTAGTTAAAGAGGAAGAAAAAGACAGGTTTTTACTTCAAATGCGAATCTTTCAGCAAAAAATCATCATATCGAGATGCATAAAAAACATTTTAAAGAGGAGATTCTGTACTTTCATACGCTTTTGATCCCAATAAGCTACAATTTTTTGTATATACCGTGCACCGTCGCAAACTCGAACCATTATTTTTCAATTTCGCATGCTCTCGCTTTGTCATCCGCCATTTTCAATAAATTTATCTTGCAACATTGAAATAAATCGATTCTTAAAGTAGAGATTCTAAGGTTTATTTTCATATTTTATAGAACTTTCTATCTTTATTATTTACGAAGTTATCGTCAGTTGAAATTTGATGAATTTTTTCCACATTTTCAGTGTACCGCTTTTTTTTCGGGTGAGTGTATACAGTATATCTAATAATATATATAGTATATATAGTATAATATATGTAAAATATGATAAAATATAGTATATAATATAATTAATTATATATACGACAGCTTTATGTACAAGAGTTTTATAGAACAGTTTTATAGAAGAGTTTTATAGAAATAATGTACAAGTTTTTTCACAGTTCTTTAGTCCCACTTGGTGCCATTTCCTGATATCATATTTTTTTGTAAGAAGTATATAAGATAGCTTTTTTTGAAAATTTTAATATATACGACAGGTTTTTTTGAAAGGTTTAATATATACAATTTTTTTGAAAAGTAAAACAATACTGTTTTGTTTTAGTTGTGACAAGAACGTGTACTTGGCGCCTTTTTTTACCTTTTTTTACCTAGATATATACTCGTCGATGTTCGAGGACGAACAACATATCAGGATGACCAAAAACTGTAAGAATATAAATAATATACATATATGTATATAGTGAGACCATTCGCGACAAGCGTCGGTAGGCCACCTGTGTATTAGGCGATTAATTCCATCTATTAGAAAGAAGGGACAAATCGGAGCAGTTAATTCGGAGCTACGGAATAAAGAGTGTAACGGTGCAGCCCGTAAAGCTGCATCGTTACGGCTACGGACCGTCCATCGTCCGTAGCCCACCAAAGGGCGCATCAAGCGCCGATAAAACTTTTATCGAAAACAACGGCGGTCAACCGCCGAACGGACCCCTACACCCGACCGTTCCGAATTTCCGTTAGTGGGGGCCCGCCGCCGAAACCGCCGATGCTTGCCGATCCAAGTTCAGTCGGCCGCCAGCCGGGTATAAAAGAGGCCCGGCTGTACGTCTTCTCACCAAATCCCGTTCGCTGCTAAACAGCGAACATCACTCTAAAGCCTTGTGTCCACGATACTAGAACTCGGTCCGAGATCTCGGACTGAGGGAAAGTTACTAGAACTCGGATTATGTACACACTGAATTTGGATGCAAAACTCGAATAAGAAGCTCAAACGAAAAAATGCGTTGTGTCCCATTTTTTGGTACGAGTTATTGCGAGAGTTATTAGATTTTACTAGTTTCTTTTACTATCTGTCAAGACAAAATATAAGATACTTATAGTGATACGAGATACTGTGAACAATATAAATAATATTTTAGTAAGTAATTATAGAATTGAAAAAATAAGAGAAATATAATTCTTAAATAAAATAAATTAATAAGATTAATAATTAATAAGATTTACATAAGTAGTTATTATTAGTTTTAATGCAGATTAAATTAGACATTAAAAATATACCTTGGCGACGGTGTGCCACCTTGACGTGGTGCCAGGGCTCCCCGCAAATCCACTCGTGGAGATGCGGGACCTAAGAGCACACCCGGAGAAGCTTAACTTCGTTAAAAAAAACTTGGGGT